AAAAAAAAGGTTAAGTCACTAATGGTCACTTGAATTCTGACTCAGGGCAACATTCTTTCTAGTAACCTTGCTTTCTAGACATTATGTCACTGGATTCTCAGAAAAATATATAAGCTAGATTATTATTTATTATCCTCGTCAGAGGTGAGACAACACCACACAGGCATATGAGGAAGGTTAATTTGTTACATTAATTCTCTCATTACAAAATTATATATATAATTACATAATTAGCTATTATGCCTGTGTCATGACCAGATGCATTAACCAAATGAAATAACAATAAAGTCTAAAAGAGGAAGTACACTGCTAAGCTATTTTTAAAGTAACTCCTAGAAAGAGTTAATTATGGAATAGTCAAGCTAGATTTATTAATCAGAAAATTTTTTGAAATCCCTATTTTTTCTTAGATAAAATAAAGCCTTGAATTACTCAGTAAGAAATAACAAGTTCTATACAACCTACACACGGAGGGTACACCTTATCGCAGTGTCTGATGACTCCAACCTAAGTCATAACTTTTCAATATAATTTTCTCCATTAAATTAAATTTAGGATCTTCTAGTAAATTCATATATTCTCTGACTTAAAAACTCATAACTGCTGATTACTATATCATAAAATATATAATGTGCTGTGAAATTTAAATAACCAGCCATATTAATATTTTTTGCTAGTTGATATTTATATGAAATATCATAACTGAACTGAACACTTAGGAAGTAATAATCATGTATAAGAAACTGTTAGACACATCCAGGCTCAGATTCTTTCAGAATGGTTATTACGCATTTTAGAAAATTAAATAAACTGTAAAACTAGCCTGCATTCTGATGTAATTAAATGTTATTAACTATAGAATAATTTTTCATAGTAAAAGATACCAAGCAGCTGAGGAGTCAGGAAATCTCAACTATAAAATTTATTCTCTGAAGTTCAAAAGAAATAATGTAATTTCCTTGTACCTACATTTGTTAACTTTTAAATAAAATAGAGAAGCCTTTGCACCTGGTTCTTTCTATATATACATATATATCACATTAGAGAGAGGCATACAGAACAGTGTGAGAATCAAGTGCCATCCAAAGTGGATATGTGCGGAGTGCCGACATTCAAAAGAAGCATATTTGGATTAATAAGTTGTTTGAATATTAAAACAAAATACAAAAATATAAATTTCATTGTTTGATTCTGTGATATTTTTCCAGTATTATTTTCAAGTATTTGATCTGCTAAAGACTGTTACTCAAGAAATTACATCATAAAAAGCACAAACTTTAATGAAAAACAGGGTATTACCTTTATATAAGTAACATGAAGAGCAATGAAGTCAGACAAATTTATTCTTTCTCTATTTTTTTGAATCAGGGGAATCAGACTGGGGAGGAGAAAAAAAAAAGACTCACCTTTGCCTGCAGGTTGAGGTACTGCAAATCCAGGCAATAAAAAGGGTGCCCCCGTCGTAATACCAGCTGGTTTTAGTTCATTGACACCGTATGTTGTTAGGGAAGTTATCAGATTAACCAGATCTTTCAAGGCATCTTTGGATTCTGCCTCTTTTGCTTGTTCCAATCTAGGAAAAGTATGATTCAGCAAAAATGTTTTCTTTTTGTTGTACTCTCAAATTTAATGCAGAAAGAAATTTTCAATTTTTATATGCAATAATAAATGTATAAAGTACTCCATTTCTTCTCCTATTGTTAAAAAAATCTACAAATTTTATTATAAGCCATTATGGTATATTTGAAAGAATATTACACCAACAGTCAGAAGACATGTTATAAATGTTGATTTTGCTGCTAGCAGTGACATTTTACATAAATCACTAATCTTTGGTAGAAGTGTCTATAAAATTAAAATATTTAAATAGCTTTTAAGTTCCTGAAAGCCCTAAGGTTATATAAAACTTCAGTTTTCAACCAAAAAGCTTACTAATCACTTCTATTTTCTCTGTTAATAGTTTTTAAAAATGATTTCCTTGATAAGAGTTCTAAGACTTTCTCTGTATTTCACTAATTCAGGTACTCTCACTAGAGTACATTTAAATAAAGTTCTGAGGGTCTAACAATTTCTGAAAAAATCTTAATTCCTTTAAAAGAAAACTTCAGTCACTATGGGATTATCTTTTGACTGTGGCTTTACTGAGAACACAAAATGGGGTACAAAACTATCTCTTTTAAATAATAAGATTTATTGAGGCTTCCCCCCATCAGCACTAATTATTCTTATTAAAATAAACCTGGAGAATGCACAAAAGTAGAAAAGAAAATATATGCTTAACCTCAAACCTCTTGGACACTTTTAATATCCTGACATTTTTTAAATTTCTCTTTTTCTAATGTGGTATGTTTTATTTTAGTAAGTTATTTTCACATCATAGACAGAATTCTGTAACCTATTTTGTTCACCTACCAGTGTTATACACATGCTTCTCCGTTAGTATAAGCTCTCCATAGATGTTTACAATGGCCATGGAGAGCCATCCACTGATTTGGGCCAGAGGGAGGTAGGACAGCTATTATAAAGGAGCACTAACACACATAAAATTTTGTCTATATTTATAATTACATATTTAGAATCACTAACCATAGGTGAAATTATTGTTTCTAACAGTATCAACATTTTTGAGGCTCTTAATAGTATTTGGTCAACCTGCCTTCTCAAAGGATTACACCAATTACTAGGATTATACCTAGTAATGTGAAATAGTTATTTCATCAACTTTCATGTCCTCATTTGTAGGCTACAGTACATATGTGAAATTACATTCTTGGGGGTTGCCTAATAGTAACTAATGGCAACTACATTAACTAGTGTTAGGAATAAGTTTACAAAATAATAGTTTACAATAGATTAAATGATCTATAAATAACCAATGGCCCAGGAACAATTAGTGAGGCATGAGTATCTTCTTCCTAGTAGATTTGTAACCAGCCATTTTCCCAGGATATACACGGAACTTTTGGCATGAAAAAGGAGGCTAAGGAAACATTTTAGATTGACTAATTTGTTTTATATATACAATCTGTATAATTATTCTTGCTATTAACTATATTAATAACAACACTGAAATTACTAATTACTAAAAAGAAAAATATAATTAAGAAGAGTTTATGTTTAGGTAGATGTTAATTAGTTCATCTAAACTCCTCTCCCTCAGCTACAAAAGAGCAGATTTATTCTTCACATCTAACACCGATTCCACCATGTCTAAGTCTGTATTTGCCAATTTAATTCTAAATTCACTTTATGTATTCTGCTGACAGAAAAGGAATAAAAGTAACTGACTAAAGCCAAGAAAATAAAGTATACATGACTGATTCTTTCCTATAACCCTAAACCATATTGCTTCCTTTGATGAAAAAGATTGAGAAGACATTTAAAATATATTCTTAACCTGTGAGGTTTTACCTAAGCAAGAGATCACAAAGGAAATTATATCCTTGCCATATTCGAAAATCATCCAAAAGAGTTTGGGAGACATCACTGGAATCTTTGAGGAAACAAGAAAGCCCAGCAAACATTTCAACAATTTCTAGGGGAGACAGGTCATCTGATTGCTGCATATTCTGAACACATGTAGATAAACATTCTTTTTCTGTAAGAAAAAATAATTAAATATATACTCTATCAATTGCTTAAGAAAATTTTCTTTACTCTTAACTGGTATGTAATGACACATTAAATAAAACATTTATATCTTAGTGTATCTACAAAATACTGTAAGATAAATGTTACACTTTCTAAAAGTAAATGTAACATTCAACTCATTAGGAAAGCTCTGCCTCTAAGTAGTAAACAAAGGGTAATATAAGAAGTATTGAAAAATAATTGACGTTTATTATAGTTTTTACATCATGTTTGGATGTTATATTATTAAACAAAATTATTTCCTACTGCCAAATGACTTTCTTGTTTTTTATATTAATATAGTAAAAAGATGGGGAAAAAAACTATCTCCTAAGTTTAGGAAGAAAAATCCAGTCATTAGTTAAAAGTACAAATTAAGAGTGAATAGAGAACAGTGAGATACAAAAATACTTCAGGAAATAAAATTTTAAAAGTTATGTTTGTACTCACTATTAAAACACAGTTGAACCCCATCATTGACTTTGGAGATTGGAGGCATTTCTGAGAAGACTTTCCCTCTCGTATCTTAAATATAATTTGCCCTAAAGAAACCCAGTATCACATAACAAAAGCTAGAAGGATTTAACATAGAAATGGAGGCAAGAAACATTTAACGACTAACTGATGTTAGGTAAGTAAGTGAACAAGTAGTTGTATTAAAAATTATTTTGAAAAATTTTCAGATGTGTGTGTATAAAACAAAGTTTCATTATGTGGAAGTTTCATATATATAAACAGAATTCAGGATTACTATGTGTAACATTCACATGCATACATCACACACACACACATAATGAATAGAGTTTTTGAGATGCTATAACTGTCTCCTACTTAGACATTTTAAAGAATAGTTGATACTCACACATAATTTAAACAGAATGGACCATTTCTCCTTAGTACTGATAAAAATCCACCTAATTTCATTTATGCTGCATTGGACAGATTATTATTTGTCTACTAATGAAATATTTTCAGAAAGACTTCTAAGTAAAACATCTCAAAAAAGAAACTTTTTTGTTTTAGTAAACAAGGAGGGAAGAATAGGCTATGACACAGAACTTATATTATGATTGAACATTTACATGACGAAATTATGCTAACTCATACATATCTACTGTTAGAATATGAGAATTTCTTACATTTCAATTGCCTCACAAATAAAAAAAATTTTTTTTCCTCCTGGCAAATATAGTTTTCAATTTAAAACAATTTTGGAGAACTGGGAGATAAAAATAAATTTGTCATCCTATGAGGAAGAGAAAATGGAAGAAATTTAGAGCACCTAAAATGAATACATAAAGAGATATTTACCATGAATATACTTCACTACATTGACGCTAAGTCCATGCCGGGAGATGGTCATAAGGACTTCTCCAGCACTCTTTCTCCAAGGCAGGTTATAGGGAGGGCACCAAGAGGTTATTGCACTGAATAAAAGCTGGAGATCATCTTTTTGAGCCAGCTCCTCTGCTGGAGAAACAAAACTGCAGAGTTTCACTAAAATCTAAAAAACAAAACAAAACAAAGGTGTATATAAATAAATGAATGGATAGGGAAAGGGAGGCGCTAACAAAGGACTAGATCTGATTATTAAAAACTGGAAGTTCAGGGTTAATACTGAGTGATATCATTAAAGCCACAGTCATGAGTGATTTAACTTAGGCAGCAATTTAAAAAAACCTCTATAATTTAGAAGTATGTTATGGTTAAACAGTAAACCACCCCTATTTTTATCAGCTTATTTCTTTTTCCAAATGTTCTGCATTTACTATCTACTCTTCATCACGGTACTTTTGCTTACCTTACCCTGAAAGGGCATGAATCAACAGCACCTTTCAAGGTCAACATTTTAGTTTTCTAATTTACTTCTTTAATTCATGGTTTTTCATTGGTGAAATGTAGTTTTCTTCTCTAAAAAGGGTTGTTTCAGGGAGATGGGAAAGTAAAACCAGTGTTCAAAAGTAAAAGTATTTTCAAATTAGTCCAATTTCTGCTAAGTAGAAGGGAGTATCAGCGTGATAAAATCACCTTCATTCAGAAATATCTTTCAGTTATGTTCAGTACCTAAAAATACTCTAAATCCTGGCTTTCAAGAAGATTCAGAACTCCTTAAACTCTGGAATGAGAACTAATTCCTTAACTATGACTTGCAAAATATACATTACACAAGTGCTCACAGCACTAAGAGCCTGCTACTTGGGGAATTCAGCTCTGGCTTCTGTCCTCTATGGCTTTTTTTATTCTTATCCCAATTCAGTGTCAGGATAAGTTAACTTTTCATCTCTGCGGTAAATTTCCTCATCTAAATTTTAATATCTATAATTTGAGTAAAATAACTACAATTTATTAAAGTTTTATTCTCTTTTGAAGGAAAAATGCTTCATGAAATTTGAGTATTTCAGTATCTGTGGAGAAACTGCTAAACAGAAAAAGGTATTTGAATATCATGTTTTGCCTGAGAAAGAGATCTTGCTATTCCTAATTTACTTCAATGAAAAATTTACTTAAGTACAAGAGCTTTCTAATTCATAGCTACCAGATATCAGGAAGGAAAAAAAAAAGACTAAGAATTCAGAGAAACAAAGTATTGATAAAATTAGTAAATACAGGCATCCCTCCATTGGCCCCAAAATGCTCAGAGAAACTATTGGATACCAAATGTCCATTAACATGGGTAATGTAAGTGTCTTTTCCCATGTGTCACACGAAACAAAAAGTATTTATGAAAGTAGTCAATTAAAGCAAAATACAGACACACACACATATATATACAAATATATGCTCATAACAGTATAATATTGATTATATGCTTCATTGGTTCTTACACTGCTCTTACACAATTAGAGGAATGGATGTCTTTTCTCTAATTTATAACATAAAAACAAATCCAAAAATAAAATACTTTTTCTAAATCAAATCTTTCTCAAAAATAAACTAGATTTAATTCCTTGAATTTACTGACTCTTACAATAACTTCTTCTTAATCTTTAAGGGCTAAAGGATTCTTACACATGATCTAGTACTTATACATTTCACACAGTAGAAAGCTGGAGAATCTACATTTCATTCCTTTTTTGTCCATACACTAACCACTTCTATTTTGCCTACATGAAGCAGAACCAACTGCTAGGGTCCCAGGAAACCATCTGTCACATAATATAAACAAAGGGATTCCATCTATCATAAACCCTGTGTATTCTGAAAACAGTGAATAGGTTTGTCTCCATTGGTTTTCTAGACAAAATGATAAAAACAAAGTCCAGTCTGTGATGAGGAACTAAAAAAAGGAAGTGATGCAGTGAAGCAGCTCTGGACGAAGTGGCAGGACACTCGGGTTCTGCTGTGGATGGCAGAACAGCTATCAATTTGCGTAACGTAAATTGGTGAGCTCCATTTAAATTCTTGAGTTCCTTTTGGCCTTAACATTCAATGACTCCAGTGAGCTGAAATGAATCCCACATTAGCGGAAAATCAGCACTCACTGCTTTCAGGTATAGAAAAAATTTTTTTTAGTTTTTGAAGAAATCTCTGCTATACTTACTAGTATTCAGTATGTAAAATTCACTTCCATTTATTGCCTGAGACACTAATTAGTTTTTTTTAGAAGGGCTTTATTGAAATGGAGCTCCTAGTCTAATTAGACTAACCCACTACACATCAGCAATGCCTTGAAGCAGCGTTAATTCCTATGTGATTTTTTTCCTTTATTTATTCCCATTGCTTTTCTCTCCCAGTGTAACTCCTGCGTCAGATAAAACTGAGTTCTAATCCTACTGCTGCCATTTATTTGCTCACATCACCGTTTTGGGCAGAAACAAAAGCTCTAAAGTCATGAGATGTCTTGCAAATTATATGAGGTAATATGTGAGCCACCAACACCAATGCATCGAATAAATTGAGTATTCAATAAATATTTGTTGAATTGGTATTTTAGTCCTATCTTTTCCTTTCTAAAACTGACATAATTTCTCTCTCCCCTGTCCTTTCACTGCTAGCACCACTACAAAGCTGGGTCATTCCTGTAGTAAAGATCCCAGTAATGAGGTGCAAAGGTCATCTGCACCAGCCTCTACAAGCTGGCCCCAAGTCTACCACAAATCCAGTGGTCGGTGGCTCCTCCCCATGCCCCCCACCTCGCCAACCAGCCTTCTCTCTTCTTCCTACTGTCACTGACAGGTTGTGGTAATGGCAGCCATCAGAGGGACCTTAATTTCAGGTTTACTACATCCTAAGCAGAGAAACACAGCTTTGTGCATTATTTCATTTGATCCTCACAAAAACCCTTTAGGTAGGTATCATTATGCTCATTTAGAGGTAAGACATCTACATCTTAGGTTAAGTAATTGCACAGAACTGGATTCAAACAGGTGCAGGGTTTTTTTTTTATTGAGGTAAAAACATGTAACATAAAATTTACTCACTTAATCATTCTGAAGTATAGATACAGTTGTGTTAGCTATCTGCACTTTGTTAAGCGACATACCTCTGGAACATTTTCATCTTGCAAAACTGAAACTCTACACCCACTGTACAACTCCTCATTTCCCCCACTCCCGACCCCTGACAACTGTCATTCTACTTTCTAAGAGTTTGATCTTTGGAGACATGTAATATATTGGAAACATACAGTATTTGTCTTTTTTTTGTGTCAAACTTTTTGAAAGCACTTTTTAGTCCCACAGACAGACTATGTTTTCTAAATGTTTGTAGTTTGCTTGTTTTGAAAAATTTCTCCCAAGAAAGGATATCAATATGATGACAGTATTTCCAGGCTGGCTAACAATAACATAGGTCTAGTTGAGCCTCTGTGAAGCACTGATGCCATTTAAAGAAGAGTGACAACAGGGGAAAAGATTTTACAGGCAGGGAGCAGAGGTGGCAGCGTACACCAAAACAAACTTTACAAAGAAATATTTATAGGCTAAGGACTTCCTGTATACAGACAGTAACAAAACAATTCCTTGACATTATTACCCAATTACCCCCTTGAAATATTACCCAAAACTTAATATGATTGTCAATAAAAGTTTTCTTGTTTAGTTCACTTTGGAGATGTTATGTTATTGCTATATCAAAGGTAACTGTAAAGTTGAATCTCTTCAGAGAAACAGACTTATTTCTCACTCAACTATTCCTCAAAAGAAAAGTGCAGATTCAAGAAATGTGACAATTATATGAGAAAAATTCAACTTAGTATAAACTGCATGAAATACTATAGGAAATGGAAGCAGGCAGAACATGTACTTAAGGAGTACACCTGGTCCCCTCTAAGTAGAGTGGTATAGACGGCAGGAAACAGCACCTTCCGTACCTGTACAAAAACTTTCTGGAGTAGTCCACGACGTTCTGCTAGAGGTAGCTCATTCTGTGCACCTCCAACTGCCTCAGGCACATGTGGAAGGTCAAAAAACAGATATAGACATTTAACCAGGGTGGAAGGCACTGACATCGTTGTCATGCAGTCCACGGTTTTCTGGAAAACAAACCAATAAATAAGTGAATAAACAGAAAAACCTTACTGTAAGTGGTACAGCTAAGTAAATTCACAAATTTTAAGCCAGAAATCAAATCACTTACTCACAAATTTTAAGCCAGAAAATTGTATGTTAACAAAATACCTCTTTAAATGCCAGAAAACTTCAAAAAAAAAAAAAAAAGGACTCCATGCCAACAAATACTACTTTCCCACTTGGATAAATTTTCTTTAATCAAATATTGAGATGTGCTTGTTATCAGTTAAGGTTTTTATTAGGTTTTCTACTTATTTATTAAGAGGCAGCATGTTTCAAAGAAGATAAGCTATAGGATTTAGAAAAGAGTAACTTAACCATGAACTTGGGCAAAGTTATCACTGGACCTCACTTTCTCTTCTTAGGATTACTATACTCCTTATGATAAATAAAAGGGTTACATAAGATAACAAATTAAAAGAGGTACACTAAATTACATCTAAGTAGTTGCTTTACTATCACTTTCATTCTTATTGTGGATTCTTGGGGCTGGCAGGACACGAGGGATAGAGCCATCACTGACACAAAACATCTCTACATTATTTTCAAAGATTCCCAGAGGAGGACATTGCCAACCTTATGGTGAACACAGCAGTACTGTAAAGAAGTATATTATAATAATTATCAAAATTGCTCTACAGTGCAGTTTGGAATAATAAGTTTTACCATACTAGAGATATCAGGTTGGCATCACCTATAGGTTAGCTTATTAACTTTTTCATCAAGCGTTTCCTGCATGCCTGGCTTGTGTCTGGCAGTGTGCTGGGAGCTGGGCACCCAAAGACAAAGCATCCCTGCACCTCAGAAGGGGTGTCTTACAAGCAGAACCAGGTTCATCAGTAACTACAATTGAATCTCTTAAGGGTAACAGTGATATTACCTACAGGCTAATATAAAAGGGAATGATCTACACTGCCAGGAGTAGAATGGAAAAGTGTAGGAATTAAAATAAGAGGGGAAAGATCATCTGGAAGATAGAAAGGAGGTTAGACCAGATGATATAGTATGTTTCAGGAACCTAAGTCCAAAATTGCTGGCTCCTGAAAAGCCACAATAATAATGTCTTATCTTTGACGAGTCTTTATTATGTAACAGGCATAAGGCTAAGCACTTTAAATACATTATCTTCTCTATTTCTCAAACAACCATATGAGGTCATTACTGTATGATCCTTACTTTACAAATGAAGCAACTGAGACACATTGCACACTCTGCCTTTGGTTAGAGGGCTAAGTGGTCCACAGGTGTATATGTGCTCAATGACCTATGCCAATGTCTCTCATTCTAGTTTACTTTTAGTTTGCTGGCACTGGAGACACAATGAAGTGTTATAAAGAATAGAACCAGATTTCAGAAAAATAGCTGGTGGTAGTAGATATCATAAATTAGATATAAAGAGCAGGAAGGCCAGGGTAATTAGGAAACTAAAACAGAAAGCCAAATAATGAGAAGTGGAGCCGAACTAATGCAGTAGCAGGATGATGAGAGGAGAGACTAGAACAATCCCTTGCAAGATGTGGTCCCTTTCTACATACCCAGTATCATTTCCTGTCTCTAATATTAAAAAATCCTCTACTCTTTCCACTTACGATTTATTATTTCTAGTACATCGCATGTTCAGTTTAAATGTTTGCTCATGTCTGAAATTTTTCTTAAATCCTCATCTTTCCTCCTCTGCTTTCCTACAAAACTTCTAACACATTTCTATTTGAATAGCACTACATATACCCCATTATTGCATTTTATAGTATTATCTTCATCCACTTCATCTCTGTCATATACATTCTGATTCAGGACCATGTTTAGTTATTTTTGCATCTCACTGCTGCCAAGAGAAAATGGCATGAAAAAAAAAAAGCTCAAAGCATAACCCTGATTTTTCTTTTAAAGTGTCTCTTTTTCAGCTAAATTATTACTAGTTTTCTCTTCCCATTAACCAAAGTATGATTTTTCATTTTCATCTTATAACTGACAGATTAAAACACAACTTGGTATCCAAACTGGTAGTTGGCAAAATCTGTAATTTGTTTTAAGTTATTAAGTTTCTCCTGATTCTTTTCTTATAGTTTTAGTCTATCCATCTGTGCAAGTTTAAATTAATCCACATTTACTGACTTCCTACTCTGTGTTAGGTAATACGGTAGGACACAGTCTCTGCCCACCACTGAGAAAGAGAAATGTAGCATCTGTAGAAAATGTGAATAAAACTTAGAAATATTCCAGTTAAAAATTATTATTTACATGCTATTCTAAACCAAACCAAATTTTGGTAAAGTAATATAGAGGAATTTAAAACTACCATCAGTGGCAAATGAAATTGGCATTTTAATAGTTATCTGGTATGGTCACAGATATATGGAAATAATGGTCCACCTTAGAATTATTTGAAGGTTACTTAGGGTGCATAAACATCTCCATTTGTCCAGGACTGAGGGACTTCCTGGGATATGGGCTTCTACGCTAAAACTCGGTAAGTCCCAGGTAAGTCAGGACTAGTTGGTCTGATTACTTTTCTGATGTTAAAAACAAAACAAAACAAAACAAAACAAAACAAAACAAAACAAAACACAAAACAAAACAAAACAAAACAAGAACAGGAAACAGGCCACTCCAAGGAAGAAAAGTCTACGTGGTACTTTGGGCTAATGACTAGTTTCAGGACACAGTTACTAAGAAATACGCCTTATTTCTGCTGTGACTTATCACCATATTATGACTGGTACCACAGTCACCTTTGTAAATTCCATTACTAAATGATGTGAGTTGTTTGAAAGCCACTTATAATTTAGACAACAGCCACTCACAAGATTGGTACTCACTTTGATAGGTAAGTTTTACTCTGGATTTTAGAAGGTTAAATAAACTTCCTTCATTCCCTAAAATATTACAGGCCAAAAATCAGGTATCCAAACATCTCATAAATGAGTGCATTCAGCATATATCATGACAGATGTTTAAAGCTGATGGGGTGTATTGAGGTTGGGGAGCAATCTCCAGAATAAATTAAGTGGGAAGGGAATATATATAATCCTGAAGACGGCAAATTTTCTTATTTTCTATGAAAATTAGAAAAATTTAAAGCATTTCCCAAGTCATTTATTCTCATTAGCTAAGCAACCTTAGATGAACCTTAGATGATTCTTCTAATCCAATGTTTCCCTGACATGGGTTACAAAAGTGTAGGGGGCTGAGCCTGATGGAACCAGAGCTCCCAGGCTACTCGCCTGCAGCCACAGTCAGTTCACCTCTCTGCCCAGTGAGCTGTATGAATGGTATATTCTATGTGTGTTATGACATGACAAAGATGGAAACCCCTGCTCTAAGTTAGGCATTTTCTCTTTTGTAAAATGCATAAAGCATTAAGCTCCTCATAGAGATGTTGTGAGAATCATGAAATAATGTGTAAGAAGAATTAGAAAATACCATGATTAACATAAAATATTATTTAGATATGAGGACAAAGTTAACTTCACAATATCCCTAGAGGATAAAAAAAGAGGTTAAATTATCAAATAAGAAAACAAAGAACTCACCTGACCAGAGGATGCTAACAAATTAATTGTCGTCAGAAGCATCCAACCTCTACTGGCTTCTTCACTCTGATTGATTTCTAGGAACTGGACTATGGCCCGACTTGCAGCTTCTATAAAACCAAAGGAAAGCCATTATTTGGGAGGGAAATCATAAATCATACATAAAAATTTCTCCTTAAAACCAACAAAGAAATGATCATTTACTAAGAACATCTTTTATATAAGCACTATCAGATGCTCTATGTAAGACATGTTAAAAAGAGCAATGTCTTAATAGTATACACCTAGACCCTTACAGCATATCATCATATCAACACAAAAATGTAAACACTAACCTACATATTCTAGGGAAAGGCATCTCATGAACTAGTCAAAAACATTCATGGAAAAGGTAAAATTTGAGCTAAACCTGTCTGGAAAACAAATTTATGTTTGTCTGGAAGTGGGAGGAGGAAAGGGCACAGGGATCCCACGAACACAGTATAAAAACAAAAGTATAGCTAGAGGAATGAGCCTAATATGTACAGATCAAGATGAAGAACTGTAATAATGCTGGGTTATATTCTAGAAGAGCTTATATTGAGAATTAGAGTCTAATATCAACAATGATAGAAAACTGATGTCTATTTATGAAGGAAGGTAAGCTAAGGACTGTATCCGACTCCACAAAAGGGAGAAAGTAGAAGATGAAAGGATTATTCTACAACTACTCATTTAGGAGTGATGTATATGCCAACTGGAAGGGCAAAGAGACTGGGGCAGGTAGCAAATTAGGAGGCTACCTCAGTGATACACACATGGGGTGACTTGAGTACCTGACAGTAAGAACAGAGAAACAGTAAGAGAGTCGCTCATGGAACTGCAGTGCTGGAAGAATCTTTAAAGTAAATTTAGTTGGTTATGTTTTTAGAGATAAGGGAAAATGTGTAAATCCCTAACCACAGACTTAATTTCATCAGCACAAAGTTCATCCACTTTTATACTGACAACTAACATACATTAGTGTTGCTGGAAAATAAGACCAATCTGTTCACTCCAAACTAACCTGTTAAGTTACTAATGTACACTTAACACATACCATAAAGATGTAGGAAGTAGAATAAATACAATCTAGACTATCTTAGTGGTATTTGTTTCTTCCATTTAAGTCAATTAAGATAAAGGTGGTTATTAAGTAAAAGAATGCATACAAGACATACATATGGTACTGTGTTGGGCATATTTCATCCTTATATACTTCTGTTTGAAGGAATATTTTAAAAGGAAATTTTTTTCAAGTTATTTTTACCAAATCTTAACTATGTAACAAGTATAGTTTTAAGTACTAGTAGATTTAGCTCACTTTACAAGAACCTTAGGAGTAATTTTCTATTATTATGCCTCCTATAACAATATAAATTGAGAAACAAAGAAGACAATTTGCCTAGAGTCACAAAGTTAGTTAGTGAAAGAACTTATATTCAGCCTCTGTACCCCATAAAGGACAGTGATTTAAAAAATCTTTTTTACTGGAAAAGAGGGAAGCCTGGCTTATTTCTAATATTCAACATCTCATGAGTGTTGAAATTACTATCTTTGTATGTTCACTGATTTGTAATCTCTCACCTCTCTAGAAAATAAACACCATGGGATCAAACTCCTCTGCTTTATTTACCATCTATCTCCATAGTGAAACACATTGCTGGCACTAAGTGAGCACTCAATAAACATCTGTTAAATGAATGAATAAATCAACATAGGAAGATCAAAGAAGGACACACTGAGATCAATTTTCTATGAACATCAACAGGTTTGGATTTACTATGGTTAATAGAGATTTCTGAAAGTTGTGAAAAGGGGAGTGACACAATGAAAGCAATGTTCAAGGCTGATAAAATTGTGAAGGCCTCATTAGAGAGGAAACAGATAAAATAATAAATACCACCAAGAAACCTTCAGCAATTAGTTTGCAACCACTGGTGAAAATTGACCTGCAAATTTTTCTTGCAAGCCTATAATGGACACAGACATTTGCTACATAACGTGAGACTTCTTTCCTTAGAATTAAATGCTCATGTAAGGAAGTCAACTTCTTCACAGTTAGTTAAAATTCTTAAAGGCTGACATGCTATGCTTTCATTTCCTAGGTGTCTTCATGATTAGGCACTTTCGTATTAAATTGTGCATTTCCAATTTCATAACTAAACATCTTTAAAAAAAACAACTTGCAATCTTCAAATCATTTCATAGTTAGGTCAATGTAAAATCCTATTTCATAAAAAAAATTGATTAGTAAATGAACTGGTTAATACCACCTCGGCTGCTCACAGAGGGGGGAAAAATTGAAGAACCAAATCTACTTTAAAGGAAGAAAAAAGCTGTATTTCTGGTACAAAAGCTATAAACCTATGGATCAGATACACATTGGTGAATTTGGATTCCATCAGTTTTATTTAACATAACACTATTAACATTACAAGAAAACTGAACAAAAAAGAAATTGGACCAATATGTATTTTTGCTGCTATTCAGTAAGTTGTCAACTATAAACAATGAACTAATGCTTATTTTAAGAACCAAAACACCAAAACTGTAGTCTTGGCTTCAAACAGTTCTATTTTTTTCATCAATGGAAGGCATTTACACAAACTTGTGGTTTCTTCTGTTTTAGTTGATAGTGAATATCATGGTATTCCTCAAGATAAAAGACAAGTAATAGATTTTTTAAACCCAATGTTCTATTTATTATTAACCATTACAATAGTTTGATGGATTGCTATACTTATTAAATCAGGTCATACATGTGAAAATAAAACTTGTAAAGGATCAAGGCAGCATAATTATTAACAGTATCTCTTTAACAACTCTATCAAAATAATAATGACTACTCTTTTTAGGTAGAGAAGATGTAAATTACATCATCAATAACGCAGTATATTACCTGGCTTTGAGTTATATGCTCACACAGATATAGAGTTTTAGATAAGTGGCTGTGGTTGAATGATATGGGAGCAATCCAAGCTCATTAACAGAATAAACTATTTAGTCAATGAAAAAGTCCTAGTCAAAATAAATACTGTATTGGATCTTTCCATTTCACTAATGTTTAACAATTACAAATACAACTTAAGGTTATGAGAGTTAATGAAAGAAACATTAATATTAACCCATCTTGAGCGTTGCCAATCATATGATTCAAGCTTTAGCTTTCACACTGCATTTCAAAACATTTAGTTAGACTATATATAGAAACAAAGTTAGTAAAGAACATTATTAGCTTAAAGGAGAAACGAATGTATACAATTAAAGAAAACTAATTAAGTTCCAGTGCACTAAACGAATATAAGTGGAGAATACAGGTGAATTCAGTTAGATGGTATTAACAAATCAGAATGTAAGATTTGTTAACAGTAAGTGCAATACAACAATATTTCCTCTGCAGATTCCATACTCAATTTCAAGCTTATGCTTTAGGATGATAATATGAGACACATTTATAGTATTATGCTTCTTCTTTCATAAACAACAAAAGCCCGAGCCCTAAGCCTGTCCCATCCCAAAGGAAAACTTGCACAAGTGAGTCAGAAAAGCAATATTAGAACTCATAGCTCCCATGCTTCTTTCCACTTGGTCATACATAACCACACCTTGGCAATGAAATTACCTGAAGGTGTTGTGGCTTGGAAATCCTTGGAAGGCAGCGGGGCACACTGTTTTTCTGCTTAAAAAAAAAAAAGGCTGTGTTGTCTAACTGGAAATTCATTACATTATACTAACCCCACGACAGATGCCGCACAAGATGCCAAGCATGGTCAGCATGACCCAGCTTCTCCAGCACCAGGCTGCCATCCAAGGGGATCGCACCACTGTGTTTAACAGTGACACCTAGTGTGCAGCAAGGTTAGTAATAGTAAACTGAAGATACTATTTTTATTCAGGTGGGAATTTTTTGCTTCAGTGATGTAAATCAGCCATGTGCTGTCAGAATTAAGCAGATTGCATGGTTGAGCTTAACAAGAAGAAGAGATGGGAAAAAAATCTTGAGCTACACCCTGTACACAATATGGGCACAATATCATGTATTTTCTCAAATTAGTTGAGTGGCAATAGATATTTTGTCTTCCACAGTGTATATTAACTATTTATTTATCAAGGGGAACTATTCTTTACCCCAAATATTCAAGTTTCATAGTTCAGGAACACAGATCAGTAAAAAACTTCCATGGAATGCAACCTAAATAAATTCTTCACATTCTAAAATCACTTTGCATTCTGAAAGATACCAGCCTTGCTCATCTCCTCAAAATCTTTCATGGAATCACAATTTCTGTAGAAATCTGCATATGCCTTCTTTCTTGGTTCAGCCACAGCGAACTTACAGAAAGCTGCAACCCCCAGGGATACAATAAATTCTCTGACAATATGAAACCACAGGCACTTGGCCAGAAGGCCTTGCATCTGAGGTTTCGTCAAAGCACTGGAAGCCATGGTAATTTTTATCCCCGACACCAAAGACCCTCCTAACCTACGAGAAAATGGATGGCGCTTGGGCAGAGCACAGGCATAGAAAAGGCAATATATATTTTTAACAAAAGCCATACAGAGGCAACAACCAAGAGAGAATTACTGGAGACAGAGAAAGAACTAGAACTGGGAAGTTGCCCTAATGTCTTATAAATCAGTCTGTGTATCTAGCCTAAATGTTGATATTCCTTAAAAGTTCCCATTTTCACAAACTTCTGATGGATAGATTTAAAAAGCAGAATTGCAGATAAGCATGTCTTCCTATTGAGATATCTACAATCCATGTTAGAAGTCATCTGAGAAAAAGACTTGACACATAAGTGCTGATTAGGTGACAAACCAAAAAACAAGGATTTCACACCAAATTCAGGAGTCCTGTAAGAATAATCTTATGCTAATACACAACAAATACAGCTAATTTTCATATGAATAATAGGGGATTCTTTTGGAATAAAATTATGTGCATGTAAATTATAAGAAAATTACTTACAGTGATAGCTTCCTGTAAAATAAAAGGGAGGTAAGGTATTGAAAGCAGCCAAATTCATAGAAGCAGAAAGTAAAATGGTGGCTGTCAACAGCTGGGAGGAGGAAGAAATGGGGAGTTAGCTTGTTTCAATGAATACAAAGTTACAGTTGTGCAGAAGGAAAAAGTTCTAGAGATCTGCTGTGCTTACAGTTAACTATACTGTACACTTAAGAATTTGCCTAGGGTAGGTGCCATGTTATATGTTTTTTAATCAGAATAAAAATCAATCATTTGTGGGGGGTACTTGGTGATGGGGGAGTCTGGTGGACATAGTGTTCCTCATGTGGTTGTGGATTGATGGTACCAAAAAAAAAAAAAATCAATCAGAAAATAAAGATGAGATATATAAGAGGTGAGATGACTAAGGATGTACCTAGATCCTGAAAATCAAAAAAAATTTTTACTAGTAAAGTCAAAAGATAAAAAAAGACTCTGTAAAAGTAGTTGTGATAGCATCACTGACCAAAAGAAACTTCCAATGTTCAAGATTAAAGTAAAAGAAGAGATCACGGATTCCCACAGCCAGGGTTCTTTAAGGCTGACTGAAGAGATAGTCTAAAATTAGGCTGTTTTCTCTTAAACATCAATAAGGCTGGGTTTTTTTCATACTACTCCAATTCTCAAAGAACCAAAATAAAACAGACAACTCCTTTGTCAAAAATCAGTAAAAGTGTATTAGTACCTCATCTAGAAGCACAAGTAGTCTTCTAGGTGACACAGGATGAGCACAAGAGACAATGGAATTAAATAAGTAAATGAACAAGATACTTTCAGATGCTGACAATGCTACAAAGTAAGTGTTCAGTATGACTGAATACTAACTCGTGTGGGGATGGAGTATAAAAGATCTATTTGAGACAGGGTGATTTAAAAAGGTTCCTCTTGTGGAGATACAATCTACACAAATTAAATCTTAATTCAATGGATTCTAAAGTTAATGAATTTGAAAAGTTTAAAATTAAAAATAATATGGAATTACACGATATGAAAAAAATATCTTTAAAATACCTGGGAAGCAAGATGTCACCAATGGAGGAAGGTAGATGAGGGGCACAAGGGTCCCTTTGTACTTACATTTGCACCTTCCTGTGAATCTGTAATTATTTCAAGATTAAAAGTTAAAAAATAAATTGTGCAACTATTATTGTGATTAACAATGAGACATTTTCTACTTCATCTGAGATAACTTTCTTTATGTCTAACAATTGCCTTATGTATGTAAAATCTTAAGGGGAAAAACAAATCTCCAATGTAGAAAAATGTTTTCTACAACCATGCAGATAAGGTATTTAAAAATACAGCAACAGAGAAAGCAAGTATTAATACAGTTCTAGGAATATTTTTATTCTAATATAGCAATATCACTCAAGAAAGAAAATGCAATGACAGAACTCTATGTAACAGAGAAATTTCTCTTCATGTTAACCTGTTTAAAATAGCTAAGAAGGCAAAAAAAAACAAACCTTATACTTAAGACCAGCTTCTCACTTCTTCAAGGGAATTGAACTCAGGAAAATTACAAAGCATGCAGGCCCATTTTGGGTAGAGAAGGGAGAAAACAGGGTAAGAAGTTATCTTAAACTATCTTATCATCTTTCACTGGACTTGCTACAAAGACTGAAATATAATTAAAGCTGTCTCATTTCAAAATCCATACACCAATTCATATAACATACTTCTGAATAAAGGATTTACTTCTAATATTTTAATGGCTGTTGCTCCAAAGACTGGACAATGGGCTCCAATTAAAGATAGAAGGTTGAGCCCATGCATTTATCTCTGCTCTCCCTTGAAGCCCCACTGCTATGGACTGAATTGCGTCCCCCTGTTCCCCACATTCCTATGTTGAAGCCTGACTCCTAATGCAACTTATTTTGGAGGTGAAGCCTTTGGGAGATAATTAGGTTTAGGTGAGGTCATAAGGGTGAGGTCCCCATGGTGAGATTAATGCCCTTTTAAGAAGTGACACCAGAACTCTTTCTCTCCTCCAAGTGAGGCCACACACAGAGAAGGTGCCACCTGCACACCAGGAGGGGAGATCTCACCAGACCGTGATCATTCTGGCACTCTGAGCTTAGACTTTTTCAGGTTCCAGAACTGTGAAGAAAAATTTATGTTATCTAAGCCACTGGTCTACTGTATTTTGTTACAACAGCCAAAACAAACTAATACACCCACTAAAATAGTTTTAAAAGGCTTTTTTAAAAAGCCTAAACTCATAAGAACAGAGAGAATAGGAAAGATGAAAACAACAAAATTCTGAGTACTAAAATAGCACAGAGATTACTGGTAACTCATTCAGCAAACTCTAGAACCTTAATTTAAATCAGGTCCAATGAAAATGGAAAAGCAAATGAACACCAGAACCTCCAAGAGGCTCAGGAATAGGTGGCACTAGGTACCTTTGGAAGCAGAGGTAAATGTGAGACTGTCGACAGAAGGACTGTGAAAGTACGTTTAAGAGCAGCTAGACCCCCAGGTCCCCACTATTATGTGGGGACAAGACTGGAGGTTTATGCACTGGGAAAAGTGAGAGAGGGTATTTGGCCTGGAGTAGGAGTAAGGGGATGAGGCACAGCTGTGGGCTCACAGAAGTACAAAAGAAACTTATATACTGAGTGATGAGGGTCCTCAGATTATTCCCCTACTTGACTTCCAAAGTGGTGAGAGTCAGGTATGTATCTTCTTAGTTAGCAGAGACTGGCATTCTCTGGAGACTGCGTCCTTCAGGGAAGACAGTCAACAGAAAAGTCCAGTAAGAGCACATTGTGCTGAAGTCTGCAGTTTCAAGCTCAACCCACAATTACAGAGTTACCCAGCAGCTTTCTAAAGCTTCATTCTTACATGGGACAAAAGGCCAATGTGAGGTAATTATCTGACATAAGTGACAGAGACAAAAAAAAGAAGAAACTAACAAAAAAGGCTACCTGAATGAAACAGACTATTTAGGGAGACAAAAACCCAAAAGAAACCAACACACCTTGGTGACCTACAAAGAGATGAAAGAATAAACCCCAATTAAAAAGTTCAAAGCACTTAAAAATTAAAATTATAATGTCATAAATTTAAAAAACTCCATAGAAAGGATGATGATAAAAACTGAAGAGCTCTTTGAGCAAGTAGAGTCAAAAACCACAAACAGAAAATAAGAGAGGAAAGAAAAGAAAAATAGAGGAAGTTTCAGGAGTACATTTGCCTAGAAAGAGAAAAGAGTTGGAGGATAAACAATGCATGAAACTTCCCCCAAATTAAAGGATATTAACTCCAGACTAAAAGAGACCAGTAAGTACTCAGCATAACGCAGAGAAATACGCCCACTCCGAGGCGTGCCCCATGACATTTTAGAACAGGAGGGCCAAAGAGAGAGGATCCTAAATGCTTCTAGAAAAGTCAACAGGTCACTAAGAAAGAAGCAAGAATCTAGGCAGCTACAGATTTCTCAACAGCAGTAAACGACTAGAGTATCTGATGGAGAAAGAATTCTCAGATCCTGAGAGAAAATGATTTCCAGCCTAGAACCTGATAACCACTGTGAGGAGTACCAATGTACTGCACGCTGCAAGAGTTCCCAAGGTGACCCTGAGGGCTCGCCCTGGGCTGCCTAGAGAAGGACACTGACCAGGAGTGCTGCTGCACCTACACTCAACTTCCCACGACAATGGTTTTTGGCCACTCTCTGGGTAGGAGGACCTGTAACTTCCTTCCTGTAAGCCTCAAAGTGTCCTGAGACTAAACAGCTGACAATCACAAACAACTCCCGTAAACATCCAGCAGATACTCAAACCGGTACTCAAACAGCCTAGACCACTGTGTGTGTCTCCACGGGTTAATGAGGACTGCATCATGCGTGTACTTTAAGAACTGGGCGGGTCCTCTTAAGCACACTTCTCTGTGAGAGACTGAGGATGGTTAACCTGTGCTTCTTTTTTTTCCTTTTCTTGACCTCTGGCTTTTTAAGTTTCTCCTTTCTGCAATTAAGCCACACGATATGATGTGATAGGATCTGTTCTAAGCCCTGGTACCTCAAAGACTTCAGCCCAAAGGCATGCCCTTCCTTGGTGAAGAGCAAGGAACCCACCTTACAAAGCAACAGTCAAAGAAATCTTCACTCACTGGATTTCTGAAATAAATAAATAAATAAACAAACCCCAAACCAAAAATGTTAACTCCCCTCCATCCTTTCTCATGAAGGGGCTGGAAAAAATGCTTAAACAAAACTAAGATAATTTGAGAAAAAATGATATGAGATTTAGGAAAACAGCCTCCATCTCAAAGTAGAAAGGCATCCCAGGAAGATGTGAGTGGAGATGTAAAAAGGACAGTGGTGCGCCTGGCCTAGAGAACTATCTGCTACAGACTAACGCAGGCCAGAAGGCTCTAGAAGAGCTATTTGCAAGAAGGTGAAATTCAAAGACCATCTGATATCTTCAATTATATTGAGGAGAGATTCAGAAAAGTGGAAACAGGTGATGAATGTCTGATAAAAATGTAAAAAACAATAGGTAAATGCTAACTCTTATGGGGGGGCAGCAGTTTTCAAGAAAAGTAATCATAGGATGTCATATGGCTCATCTTAGAATAGTGTTTCAGTCACAATAATATAATGAATACTGATTTAAATTCAATAATGATAGCACAATATTGGAGGGGTAGAGGAAGTATGAATGTGTGGGGTAGTCGTGGTGAATTTAAAAGAAGAAAAGTCTCATTTTCTCTTGTGGCAAGTCAGAAGATAGTACCTAACTGTGAAAATTCAAGGGCACATACTCTAAGTGTGTTATTTAGAGACAGAGGTAAATATAAAAAAATTTAAGGGTTAATAAGTGATTGCCTCTCAGGAGTAAAGAATGGAGTAAAGATCAGAACCCAGATGGTGGAAGGGAGATGCTGTTTTTTTAATAAATCGTTTAACTATTCTACCCTTAAAACTATGTGCTAATATAATTTTAATCAAAAATCAAAAATAAATTGATAAAAAAGGATTATATACAAAGGCATTACTGTTACTAATGGAAAAATAATAACCTGATGGGCTGAAAAATGGTTTTCCAAAGAAAACATTAGATACAGAACTTAAATTAACTTTTCAGTCTAATACTTCAATGAGAGCTCTCTCACTCAAACCACCATTAAAAAAACAAAATAAAACAAAATTTAAGATAAAATCCCTCATACTTATTACTAATTTAGAAAATGACTGATGGTGATTAAAAATTAAGAAACCTATTTTAATCTTCTGCAAAAGGGATGATAATTAATGATATTTAAGATTATTTATGAATAATAGCTATTCTGGTAGCATTCATAAGAGGCCTACTGTACATAAAGCACTGTGATCAAGACTGTAGGTTACATAAAGACCCCTGAAGAGTTTATGGTCTAATAGGAAGATACAGACACACGTACAAAGACACACACACACAAAGACTACTGCATTGAGAAACAGAAAGTAGTTTAGGAGAGAAAGCTATTTCTTTGATTAAGGAAATCAAGAAACATTCCATCAACGAATTATAACTTAATCCAAGTTTGGAAGATTCTGACATACTGATATGGGGTAAGATTCTCCTTTCTAGGTGAAACATAAATAAAGGATAGAAATAATAATATAGACATGTCTGATCATAAGCAGCTCAGTTTGGTTGATATATAGAAAAGGAAAAAAGAAAAAAAAAGGGTAGGCTAAAAAAATATGTATGGCCAGATGCTGTGTATGGTATGAATGTCATGCTAAGAATTCAGATTTTGTTCAGAAGGAATCAAGAGTGTTGTTAAAAGGGCTGGCATGGAGGTCATAGGTCCAAGGAGAGCAGCTTTGTATCCTTCCTGAAATTAAAAGACAGTGAGACCAATAGAAGCATGTGATGTAAGAATGGGAATGGGCACAGGGGACTGAAATTCATGTGCTTAGAATCAGGTCAATTTTCTACTTAATTTTAATAGAACTTGTACGAAACTGTCCATTCAACTAAATCCGTTTTTGCTGGTTTCTGTGAACATACCTGTGGACTTGTTTGATGCTCTCCTTCGAATTTCTGTCACCATCAGTCTTGAGACTTGAGTTGTGAACTGCAGAAGATCAGAAAATTTTTCTGTCATTGTATTTGGCGGAGCATTTCCAAAAACCTGTGGATGAGGAAAATAATTTTAATGAAGCATTGCCAACTTTTAAATTTTATTCTGTGCATTTCAAAGTGTGTTATGACTTGAAAATCAAGTCAAAAAAGTATGCTTACAGTTACATCTGATTAAAATACAACCCTTGCAATAAATCACATCTAGCCACATTTCCTTATACATATTAAATAATTTGTTGAGTGAAAAATTAAATAAATGAAATCTAAAAACCAAAGACTAGTTTTCTATAAAATTTTAATCAATCTTACTAATAAACTTTAGAAAATACCATTTTTCTCAGAGGAAATCTAAATTAAGAATTTAGAGAAAAATGGTACAGTTCTTTGATGGTACACAGATAAATCTGCTTTTCACCATCTGAAAAGTCCTAGACTGAATATAGACTCATCTTGTGGCTCAGAATTTCTAAATTCTAACCACAATAATTCTCAAAACAAGATTGTTAGGGAAACAACTAGAATAAATAAAATGAATGAGGTCATGAAATATACATGTTTTAACGAAAACCTAAGACAAATGAACTTTAGAAGAAATAACTCTTAAAGATAAACCAGTGTAGGTTCACAAAGAAAATAAGAAAATGAAACCTGGATGACTGTCATATGAAAATGGTATTATAATGGCTATGTAACTAGATAAATTTTGAAATATTGTTTTAAAAAATGTGCTTCATATCTAGAAGAAAATTCTGTGCCTTCTAAAACTATTATGGTATCTATTATAATACTAATCACACAGTTTTTATTCTTATTATCCGTTTAAATGTCACTACAAAGGGAGGAAACCCACCTTGCTCAACTTTGCATTCTGTAGCAAGCCAGCACCCTGCCTTTTATGGGGATGGCCCCTAAATATGGCTGTTCATTTATATGCTGCCTGCCCTATTCCCAACCAAATTCTAGAGGACATTTAGGCAACACTGAAGGACAAATAAACTATAACATGAGAATATAATCAAAAGTAAGAAAGAAAACAAAAACAAGGAAATAAAAAACCAAGGCTAGGGAATGGACTGGAAAAAGAGTAAATACAAATCTAAAACCAGAAGACCTATAATTTGCCCTATTTTGGTCATAAATCCTGATTCAAGTATACAAAAAAGAAAATCTAGTCAATTACATGGCTCACACCATCCTTAGGTAAGAAAAGTACACGTTAAGGAAGTACCTCTATTCTTCACATCATAAAAATTTACTTCCAAGTATCCTGATAAAAGATTATTACTTAAAATGTAATATCTTTGTAATAGAAATGTTTCTTACACTTTTATAACAGATAAACTAGTGGTTCTTATAACCTCCCTCAAATTGACCTGGAACTACCAAACAAATACAGGGTATACTTCTGTCCAAGTATTTAAATCTTTGTATCTAAGTCTTTTTATTGACTTGACACAGGATTAATTTTAAATTACCTCAAAGAATAAATAAGCTTGTACTTTTCAAGAAATTCTCAATAAACTTTTTTTTTCTGTTGAGATTTTGATAAATGTTGTGTGCTTACAGTTAAAAACTGTGTCACCTATTAAATGAGACCCATATTCTTCAGCAACCTGGAAACAGGTTAGAAATTCAGAAGCCTAAAAATGACACATGCTCGAACAACCATTCTTCCACTCACAGATGATATGTAACTGTTTGGTGAAGGTTTTGTAAAACAATTGTGTATTTTCTCAGGTAATTAATTAGGCGTTTTGTCAAACTAATTAAAATTTAAAGTAGGTAAGTATTCCTATTACTCAAAATATAATGATACATACTTTGCTCTGAAGAATTATTAAGAGCTATTTTATTCCTTATAGTTATTAAGACAACTTTGTAAAATAAATAAATCACTTCTTAGACAGTACAAAGATATGGTTATTCAAGCAGTCTTCATGCTGTTAAAAATGCATCTAACTTTCCACACAATCCTGATACTTACTGCTTTATTTCCACAGGAAATTTTTTCAAAAGATAAATCATGCTTGGATTGACCAATCTAAAATTACACTTATGGAAAAAGGACTATGTTCTATTTCTAATCTGAAATGAACAACTATTGCTTTCTTGACATAAGCAATTTTTAGTCTAGTGATCCAACACCATTGACTGACTCATTCCTCATTCTTCCATGCATAAATATTTAATGATCTCATGTATATGCCAGACAATATCTGGAATCATGAATACAAAGGGAAATAGAGCAAATTATGATTCCTGTACTCCTGGAGACATACATTAAACAAGTTAATGTAAAAATGAAAATTATGGTAGATACTGATGTGTCATAAAGGAAATAAACAGAGCAACCGAAATGCAATGCCTGGAGTGGGGAAAGATTGTCAGAAAAGGTCTCTCTGGGATGATACTGAACAATGAGAAAAAGTCACAAAGGGAAGAGGGTTCTGGGCAGTGAGAAGAGCTGCTGTGCTAAGAACTCAATGTGGTCCTGAGATTGGGACAGGTGAGGAATACAAAGCATAGGGAAGCTGACTGTTCTGAATGAGAGAGGAAATGATATAAGATAAGGTTGGAGAGGTAGAGACTAAAACATGAATCTGACATTTCAGATAAGGCTAAATGTATCAGGCAGCAAAGAGTAGATTTTGCTTGTGACTGACATCAATAATTAAGTCTAAAAATATTAGCTATGTATTCATCACCTTTCACAGATAGTGTTATACTTGAGTATACAATGCTTCAATCATGTACTTAAATGTGTGCCCTAGAGGACGGAGCATGGAGCTGGAAGTCAGGAGGCTTGGATTCCCTTCATCCTCAGAGACTACAAATTTTTCTGATTCTTAGTTTCCTCAACTGCCAAGGAGGAGAGCTGAGTAAGTGACTGGTAAGCAATACATTCAACTCAGAAAGGACAATTCCATAATAGTTATGTGACATTCTTAACTCAGACTGGAAAAGAAAAAACACAGTACTGAGGAACAAATATGACTTTTAATAAATTCAGTAAAAATAATAATTACCATATAATGACCAATTACGTGCTTAGCAGTATTCGAACATTTGACGTGTAATGTCACTTAAATCTCATAAAAACCTATACAGTATTCCCATTTTATTGATAAGGAAATTAGGGGTTAGAGAGGTTAAACAACTTAAGCTAGGATGTGGTAGAGAAAATTTAAAACTAGGTCTGCCTGATTCCAAGCCATGTTCTTAATCACTCAGTACTATGTTGTCTCAATTAAACTTTGCACGCAGACCTATAGCTGTCACTTTGCAAAGTATTCATCTTAAGAGGGAAGAGAATGCTTTGACGTTTTTAGACAGATCCTTTTTAATATCCATCTAAATAAATTTCAGAAATCTCCCTGGTACTTCCTCAACTATTTTTGGTATGCTTGGGGAGCACAAATTAGTGATGCTATCTAATGGCATGAATAAAGTAAAGGCTCAATATGTGTTTGTTGCTGAATGAAGCTACTCAATAAAAATTTATTAAATATGACTAATAAATGAGAGCTTGAAATTTTAAGTTTTCTAAATTGTGTCCTGTTTCCTAAATACATGTAATATCTAAAATTGAGTTAGAGTACTAACCATCTACTTGAATAATTTGCTATATAAAGTATATTTTAAAATTAACTATGTGAAGATGCAATTGCATCATTTCATATTGTAAATGAGTTAAGATTTCTTATCAATAATATTAATAATTAGGGAAACACTTTTATAATCTTGTTTCTAAGAAGGACAACCTTAGGGGAGAAGAAAGTGAAGAGTGCCTAACTCAGTCCCCTTCCCTCCTTTCTTTCCTGTGGGATATGCCTGCTTCACGAGAACAACACTGTTTTCTGCTCTGGCTGTGGCTTGCAACTGTCAGTTTGGCCAACGACTGGGTAAGCAAATATAACAATTTCAGGGGTGAATTTAGCAAGCCCTTTGTTGCACAGTCCTAAGCTACATTCTCTAATTAGACAGTACAAAGATATGGTTATTCAAGCAGTCTTCATGCTGTTAAAAATGCATCTAACTTTCCACACAATCCTGATACTTACTGCTTTATTTCCACAGGAAATTTTTTCAAAAGATAAATCATGCTTGGATTGACCAATCTAAAATTACACTTATGGAAAAAGGACTATGTTCTATTTCTAATCTGAAATGAACAACTATTGCTTTCTTGACATAAGCAATTTTTAGTCTAGTGATCCAACACCATTGACTGACTCATTCCTCATTCTTCCATGCATAAATATTTAATGATCTCATGTATATGCCAGACAATATCTGGAATCATGAATACAAAGGGAAATAGAGCAAATTATGATTCCTGTACTCCTGGAGACATACATTAAACAAGTTAATGTAAAAATGAAAATTATGGTAGATACTGATGTGTCATAAAGGAAATAAACAGAGCAACCGAAATGCAATGCCTGGAGTGGGGAAAGATTGTCAGAAAAGGTCTCTCTGGGATGATACTGAACAATGAGAAAAAGTCACAAAGGGAAGAGGGTTCTGGGCAGTGAGAAGAGCTGCTGTGCTAAGAACTCAATGTGGTCCTGAGATTGGGACAGGTGAGGAATACAAAGCATAGGGAAGCTGACTGTTCTGAATGAGAGAGGAAATGATATAAGATAAGGTTGGAGAGGTAGAGACTAAAACATGAATCTGACATTTCAGATAAGGCTAAATGTATCAGGCAGCAAAGAGTAGATTTTGCTTGTGACTGACATCAATAATTAAGTCTAAAAATATTAGCTATGTATTCATCACCTTTCACAGATAGTGTTATACTTGAGTATACAATGCTTCAATCATGTACTTAAATGTGTGCCCTAGAGGACGGAGCATGGAGCTGGAAGTCAGGAGGCTTGGATTCCCTTCATCCTCAGAGACTACAAATTTTTCTGATTCTTAGTTTCCTCAACTGCCAAGGAGGAGAGCTGAGTAAGTGACTGGTAAGCAATACATTCAACTCAGAAAGGACAATTCCATAATAGTTATGTGACATTCTTAACTCAGACTGGAAAAGAAAAAACACAGTACTGAGGAACAAATATGACTTTTAATAAATTCAGTAAAAATAATGATTACCATATAATGACCATTTACGTGCTTAGCAGTATTCGAACATTTGACGTGTAATGTCACTTAAATCTCATAAAAACCTATACAGTATTCCCATTTTATTGATAAGGAAATTAGGGGTTAGAGAGGTTAAACAACTTAAGCTAGGATGTGGTAGAGAAAATTTAAAACTAGGTCTGCCTGATTCCAAGCCATGTTCTTAATCACTCAGTACTATGTTGTCTCAATTAAACTTTGCACGCAGACCTATAGCTGTCACTTTGCAAAGTATTCATCTTAAGAGGGAAGAGAATGCTTTGACGTTTTTAGACAGATCCTTTTTAATATCCATCTAAATAAATTTCAGAAATCTCCCTGGTACTTCCTCAACTATTTTTGGTATGCTTGGGGAGCACAAATTAGTGATGCTATCTAATGGCATGAATAAAGTAAAGGCTCAATATGTGTTTGTTGCTGAATGAAGCTACTCAATAAAAATTTATTAAATATGACTAATAAATGAGAGCTTGAAATTTTAAGTTTTCTAAATTGTGTCCTGTTTCCTAAATACATGTAATATCTAAAATTGAGTTAGAGTACTAACCATCTACTTGAATAATTTGCTATATAAAGTATATTTTAAAATTAACTATGTGAAGATGCAATTGCATCATTTCATATTGTAAATGAGTTAAGATTTCTTATCAATAATATTAATAATTAGGGAAACACTTTTATAATCTTGTTTCTAAGAAGGACAACCTTAGGGGAGAAGAAAGTGAAGAGTGCCTAACTCAGTCCCCTTCCCTCCTTTCTTTCCTGTGGGATATGCCTGCTTCACGAGAACAACACTGTTTTCTGCTCTGGCTGTGGCTTGCAACTGTCAGTTTGGCCAACGACTGGGTAAGCAAATATAACAATTTCAGGGGTGAATTTAGCAAGCCCTTTGTTGCACAGTCCTAAGCTACATTCTCTACTATCAACTGTATTGGTATTATAGAATGAGTAACAAAGCTGTATGTAAGTAAACATAAAGCTGCACATATGTAAATAGTTCATCTTTCTGACTCCCAATCTGTCACTCATTTGGTTCTAAATGTGACCATCCTTCCTCTAAAGCCAACAATTCAAAAAGTAAATGTCACCTATAACAGATTAAAAAAAAGTCACTGTATTCAACTTGGATGCTTCTCAAATATAAATTAGAATATAAAGATGAAAAACAAGGGGAGTTACTAAAAGAAGAGCTAGTTAGTAAAGATTGTATTTTAAAATGAGGTATGATAACAGACACCGAAGTAATTAACAATGGCCGTTAATTTTTAATGACTAAAATGCTGTTTATTTTTGAATAAGCCTAAACCAAGTACTTTCTCTATAAACTTTTGTTCTTTGTTAATTATTTTTAAGAATGCTGGATAAACAGTGTTCAGTTATTCCCAGACTCCACCATATTCTTTCAGTTGGAAGGATCTGTGGGAGGAGGACAGCAGCAGTCTCCCTGCAGACCTGCGATGAGGGCCACAGGCGGCAGCTCAAGGATCCAGCATGGGGCCTGGCCCAGAAAAGGGAATCAACACATGTCATTTCTCAACCTGTGTGTCTTAAAGGCAAAAACCACACACTGAAAAAACACTACTGAGCACATTTTAAAACAATTCTGCAAATAGATGCCCATATCTACCAGTAATATGGTTTATTTGCCATTTAGCATGAATCAAGCAGTGTCAAAAGCCAATAGTACAATTCGATTTTAGCAATCATGGCAGGAACTCTAGAACCACACTGAGCTATTCATTCATCAAACCTCTTTCTTACTAGAAGACAATGTTCATGTATATACGGTCAAACATTAAATATGGCTTTAAATTTCAAAATTTAATGGATGTGATAATATCTTACCTAAGGACAATTCTATAATATTCCAAAGAACATAATTTATATATTTGTTTAAACTGATCACAATGGTACAAAAATAACCTATCTTTTCATTAGTTAAAGCCAAATGACCTTTGTATTTAAATCACTCATTATATTAGAGGTTGAAGGCAATGCATCTATATGTGCTTTTTAATCAGCCAATTAAAGACTTCAACACAAAAGAATAGTTAGACTTATGACAACACAAGAGAATTTAGTCAAACAGACTACGCAATGAGAATAATCACTAAAGCATCTCAAATCTACTTTTTTAAAAAACCAAATACTTGCACTATTCTTCTAATCTTAAGAATCAATTGAACTGACTATGGAAGCCTACCTATTGAAATACACTGGCTACACATGCAGGATAATACTTATTAATTTCCAAACCATCACAATTTCCTTAAGTCCCCTAACCCAAACTACCTACTCCAGGCTCTCAACAGACCTGTGGACCTGTTGATGACTACAGAGAATAAAGGTTATCAAGCAAGATTCTTATTCAAATTCCCACTACCTTAACTACAAATTTATATTCATACCCAACAAAATATGCTTTCTTACAGGATGAGGTGTCTTTCTTGGGCTCAAGGCTCACTCACCCACCCATTTGTAATTTGACTCTATGCTCTCCTTCCCCAATCAATATGAAAATTTTCTAATTTCCCCCTCTGTTGGTTTCTTCCCTTCTCTTTATAAGCATGCCCAGATCTCTTCCATCTTTAAAAACAAAGCAAAATACTAGAAGCATACGAACAAAACCACTCTCATTGCCAAGTTTACATCCATCGATCTCTTTTGTTCTCTTTTCTCTCAAATGTTTACAAGTCCAGTATGTTCTTACTATCTCTTCTCATCTCCCATTCACTCAACTCACTATTTTCTGGTTCTGCCATTTTAATAACTTCCAAACTGGCAAATCTCATGACTATTTTTCAGTCCTCATTTTACTGGGTCTCTCTGTTGCATGTGATGCTGCTGACTGCTCTCCTTACAACTTTTATCTCTTGAGTTCTACAACCACCCTCTCCTGATTCTTTCTGTACTGCCATTGACCAGCTCTGGTTTTGAATCCTTTATGAGTTTCCCTTCTTTCATTAAACGTTCATATTCTAGATGGTTCATCCTTAGCGTACTGATCTTCTTACTTGGCAGTATGAGCCATGAGTAATCTCTTGTGCCCTTCCAGGGTTTCAATTACCACATCTCTGCCAATGAGTCCCAAACGTAGGTATCCAAATCCCCTTACCTGAGCTTCTAACTGCCCACTGAATCCCTTCACTTGGAAAGATCACAAATAGTTCAGACATCATGGTCCAAACTAAATCTATCCCCTAAACCTTTCTTTCTCAGCTACTGGGAAAAATACTCACCCACTTTCCCAAATTAGAAACCTAGGAGATAGCCTTGCCTTGGCCCCTTTTACTCTTTATTCTATTGCTTAAAATATTTCATTGGCTCTGTATGCCTACAGGAAAGAAGTATTAGCTCTTTACTTGACAAACAAATCTGTCATGATATCCTTCCTATCAATCTTAACAGTCTTACTTTTGGTCCCTCCTTGACATAAAATCAACTTGGACTGCTTATAGATGTTGGCATATATTAAAATGTTTGTTGCCTTTGACCTTGACTCATGCTTTAACTTCTTGCTCTAATTACCTTCTTAGTTAATTTAGCCCAGTTTTCCAATCTAGCTAATGCTTATCTTTTAAGGACCCAAGTATCACATCACATCTTTAGGGAGACCTCCCTGCCTTGATCCCCACAGACTTTAGATAAAAAGTCTCTTCAAGGCTGACTTTCAGTGCCAAAAGAGCTAAAAGAGCTAAAAATGACAGCAGCAATTAGCAGCAGAAAGCAGCAGGGCACTATAAGCCTATGGGATTCTTTGCCTTTTTAAAACTACATACTTGTATATCTGTGAAAATATTATAAAAATCCCCCCCAAGATTGCTACATGAATTTGACAAAATACATTAAAACATTGACTCTAGACTCTCTAGGGCCTTTAACTATCTTTTTTCAAAATCTCTTATAGAAAACCTGTCAAACAGCACAGTGACCTGGGATGATTCTTTCAAGCGCACAAACCACTTGCGTGATTACACCATGTGGTTCAATAAACTGTAACTGCAAAAAATTACAGAGATAACAAGTGGTAATTGACAATATATCCCTCTTCCGAAATTCAATCATTAGAGAACTTTTTAAAAAATGCTCAAAAATGCTCAGTCTTGTAGATGAATGGATAAAAAGATGTGGTACATACACACAACAGAATACTATTCAGCCATAAGAAAGAAACAAATCCTACCATTTGCAACAACATTGATGGAGCTGGAGGACATTATGCTCAGTGAAATAAACCAGGCAGAGAAAGACAAGTGCCAAATGATTTCCCTCATTTGTGGAATATAACAATGAAGCAAAACTGAAGGAACAAAATAGCAGCCGACTCACAGACTCCAAGGGACTAGTGGTTACCAAAGAGGAGGGGTGCGGGAGGCCGGGTGGGAAGGGAGGGAAATGACGATTGAGGGGTACTATGTTCAGTACACATGGTGTGGGGGTCACGGGGAAAACAGTGTAGCACAGAGAAGGCAAACAGTGAATCTGTGGCATCTTACTACACTGATGGACAGTGCCTGCGATGGGGTATGGGTGGGGACTTGATAATATGGGTAAATGTAGTTACCACCTTGTTTTTTCATGTGAAACCTTCATAAGAGTGTATATCAACAATACCTTAATAAAAAAAAATTTTTAATGCTCAGTCTTCTTTTTTTATCTGTTAGAACTAAGTGGAGTTCTTTCTGACTAGGTCTCTTATCAAGTAGCACTGTTTCATAGCAAACTGAAAGATGGACTAAAAACATTGATCTTCTTAAAAACTAACTCATTCTATCAATTTCTTCCTAATTGTGACTTATTATAAACCTAAGATTCCTACCACACCTAAGATTCCTGGAAGCCCTGGGCTTGGCAGCCTGGACATACCCTGTTAAACACCGGCAGCATCATGTACAGCTTCTCTTCTTGCTCCTTCTGCGTCATGTGACGGGGAGGATGGCACAGCTCGGTGAAGAGGCGGCGGAGGTGCATCAGTCCTAAGGCATTGTCTTGCGGGCTGCATTCTTCCTGCCTCGGCCGCCCCATGATCCTCTTCACCATGTTCATCTTGGCTGGCTGGTGATGAGCACTTCTAATTCTGCAGGAAGATGTTCAGACACAGTCAAAACATCACCGTCTTCACCAGGTCAAGGGTGTACGAAGAACTTATAAAAAGTTTGAAAAATAGAAAATTCTGTCAAAGACAATTTTTCTACTTCTTTCAACAGAAAAGATAGAGAGGCAAGCTAATTTTGATAAATCTCCCTAAATGATAAATTGGAATCATGGTCCCCACTGTTCCCACTGGCTTTGCCACAACATGTGTAGAATGTAAAACATTAACTGGACAATTAACAAATGCTTCCAACTAAGTTGGTCATATCAAGATCAACAAATAAAAGGATCATAACTCTTACTATCAATATGTAATAACTCTCAGTACTTAGTAGCTGGGCATACGTGAAAAGAATAAAAGAACAGGAAGTTCAAAACAACAAAAAACAAAATTTTTCTGTTTAGTTATTTAATTTTTTTTCTAGATGAAGGATTATACTTTGGATAACTACTGAAGAGTTTATGCTATAGTTTGAAAAGTATGCAAATTAAATAAAATGACACCCCAATATATTTTACAGATCATAAGAAGACAGTGAAAATTGCCATACAACTTAAGACCACTTTTTCAAAATAGTCTGAAATCCTCTGGCAGGTCAGGTTAATACATTAAGTGGGTCAGGATGAGAATTTTTTTTTAAATGAAAGAGAATAGAAGATATTGAGATACATATAGTGGGGCAATTACTATTTCATGATACTTATTTTAGGTAAATTATGTATACTAAATCACAATGTAAAATGTATTCCTGGCTAGATCTTCAGCTAATAAATAAATAAATAAACCAACCACTGAGCTAGAATACATACCAACATCAATAATACTAAGCTTTTAAAGAGCATCATGGTATCTTTTCAACTACCACTAATTCTGCCAGCAATCAGCTGATTTTGACACAAAAATGCGTTATCTTACAGAAGGAACCTAGGAAGGCTGGGAGAACTTTATGGATATACAGAATGTAGATGAAAGGCAATCTGCTTTTAACCTATAGAAAAGCAGGAATAACCTGAAGATTAACTTTCTAATTTCACTGTATAACCACTCAAACCAGTATGCCATTTCTTAAGAGAAGGAAGACTACTGCAAGGCTAGAGCTTTACTTACTAACCATCTGTCTACTGATTATTAAAACTATGGGAAGAACTAGCATTTTAAACATGCTCATCCTTCAGAATTTTGGGTAGATTTCATTATTTCACTATGGGGCACGTGCTTAGGAACTCTACCTTGACAGTAACAGGAGGCCATGACATGATTAAGCACAGGCAAGGAGCAGAAAGACTCCCACCTAGAGCTCTGCCAGTTGGATTGTCTATGCTGAGTGATAGCTGTGCAAAGAGCACTCAATATACCCTAAGGTGTCCAGTCACAGGGAGGAATGCTTAGTCACAGAAGTAAAGGGCTGAGGAGAACTATAAACTACAAAATGGCAAATGAAAGCCCAGTTCAAGCTGCTTACCATATTTCATTCTTGGAAAATAAGTAAGTCTTCTAAATATAAATGTAAAGATTTCAACAAATGCACTCAACATTCAAGTAGCTGAAAAATTAAACAAAGTGAATTATAAAACTTTTGTAAATTAGATAAAATTTTACATTACACATTATCTGTGCTCTTTTTGCTTAGCCCATAGCTAAAGTTCATAATCTAGAGTGTGTGGATAGGATTTAGGGATTCATGATCCTGTAACGCTTCAAAGCACTTTCAGACAATCTCCTTTGCACCTCATTCCAACTTAAGGGGGCCAAAGAAAGCATTAATTCTACCTTTAAATGACACCCAAGACAAAAACTTGCATAAAATCTCCCAGTGAAAAAGAACTGGGGAGAATCCAGGCCTCCTACCTCCTGGTCAAGTGTCCTTCCTAGCTAATCCATACTCATGTGCCTATTTTACATTACAGAATTCTTGGAAACTGTGACTCTATGCAGCATATTTATTTATTGGGCATCAAGTAGCAATTAAACTTGGAAAGAAACCTTTCAGTTTTCCTTAAGACAAACTAAACTGTCAACTTTTACTTCTCAGTGATGGAAAAAAGATTCACATTCCTTCTTTTCACCTAATTTACCAAGACACAAGCATGATTGCTGAGGACTCATCTGCACTTCAATGTTTAGATTTTTAATTCAAGTATCACTGATATATAATCTTATGTCAATTTCAAATGTACAACACAGTGGTTCAACAGTTACCCATATTATTAAATCCTCACCCCCTCAAGGGTGGTTACTGTCTATTAATGTAGTAAGATACAGAATCATTAACTGTATTCTCTGTGCTGTACTACCATCCCCGTGACCAACTTACATTGCAAATGCAAATTATTGTGCTCTTTTACCCTCTTTCTCCCCTACCCCAGCTGAAAGGAAAGGAGCGACACACAGCAGCAATTCACCGGAGAGTTCTGCTTTATTAGGGAAAGGTGCTGGTTTATATAGGAGGGGGCATGAATTGATTGAGGTGTCACTTCTACGGGGCTGGTGGCTGTTGGCTAGGTGCTGGGATTGGGAGGGGGGCGAGAGGTGATTGGGCTTCAGGTGGCGCCGGCGGGAACTGAGGACCCCGAAGAGAAGCTGGAAGTTTGCCATCTTACTGGTGGGGACCCTTCACCAGCCCTCCCCAACCCCTCCTGCTTGGTAACCACTACTCCCTTCTCAGTGTCTATGAGTCTACTGCTATTTTGTTCCTTCTGTTTTGCTTTGTTTTTATACTCCACAAATAAGTGAAATCATATGGTATTTGTCTTTTTTCCACCTGGCTTATTTCACTGAGCATAATACCCTCTAGATTCATCCAGTTGTTGCAAATGGAAGTTTTCATTTCTTTTCATGGCTGAATGATATGCCATTGTGTATAAGTACCATATCTTCTTTATCCATTCATCTATTGATGGACAGTTTGGTTGCTTCCATATCTTGGCTATTGCAAACAGTGTAGTGCTAAACACAGGGGTGCACATGTCTTTTCGAATCAGGGATTTTGTTTTCTTCAGTTAAATTCCTAGGAGTGGAATTCCTGGGTCAAATGGTCTTTCTATTTTTAGCTTTTTGAGGAACCTCCATATTGCTTTCCACAATAGTTGCACCAATTCAATGCTTAAAGTATAATTCAGACCTCTTTTTAATTGAAATACAGTTGACACATTATATTGGTTTCAGGTGTACCACACAGTGACTCAACGAGAGCTATCATGTTTAAAATACTCTTCAGTAGTGTTAGAGTAGATAAGAATAGGTACTTTTCAGTGAAACCTGTACAGACATGGCCATGTGATAGGTTACTTCAGGTGAAAGGCTCTTAACCCATTTGAATCTTAGGTTTCTCTCATCTGTAAAATCTTTTCTCACTTTTTTTGTAATGCATACAAATAACATTATTTCTGTAAATGCTGTACATTAATTACATTCAGTAATTGTTTTTGTTTTCTTCCTTTAACTTGATCGTGAAACTTAATTCCTTTTCATTTACATTTTTGTTTTATAAGCAAGTACGGAAAAGGAAACAGCTCAAGCCCTTACAGGACAATGTTTTAGTGGCTTACAAAATAACACATTAAGGGGAGAATTCCTTCTAACTGGATGCTCCACAGGAAGTTTATAAGGTAATCAAATAGAAGAGACATATAAAATGTAATAATGAGGAGGACAAATCCTAGAATGATTATTTTGGGAGTAATGTTACTACGGGTTTTCAAAATATTTATAAAGATTATTCTGTGTAAGAACTAGTTTTCTAATACAAGCAAAACTCTATTTTGCTTCACAAGAGAAAAGTGTTTGTACTGCCAACAGGGGGTTATTTAAATAGCAATGAGATAATTGCTGCAATGAGCCCAGACGGTATTTCTTCTTCCAGTCTCTCCTGTTAATGCTTGAAAATTCCAGACACTTTAACCTTCCCAGCCCAAAATCCTTTAAACAGTTTGCCATTATTTAAATTATAGAAGGGTACAACTAAATTTTAAAACATGTTTGTTAGTTACTATCCTAACAAAGGTGCTGCCTTTGAGAAGCTCAGTTAACAACCAAAAATAGCTTTTCTAAGTAACCCTCAATGAGAGAATAAATAAATAGCTCACTTGGCTAAGGAAAATCTTATACTTTCATCAAAGAATTAAAAGAAGTTTCTCAGGTTTATTTTTCTTAAATTTTGTGGGGAAAAAAACATCCTGTATCTTCTGTTAAGAGTAAAAGCAAAATGTCTTACAGTTTTGAGGAGTGAAGGCAAAACTCTGAGAAGATCCCAACAAACAGTATATGCCCCAGCAATCTAACACAGAAATTGAAAAAGAAATTACAGTGCTGAGTTAAAATTTAAAATTTCTATCTGCTGAAGCATTGTTTTTTGCCTTTAAGAGACTGTCATTATCAGAGTTTTAGCATCCAGGAACCAAGGAAGATCTGAGAAAGATCCTTCCAGGTCTGGCTGAGGGTCAGAGAATAATTACTGGGAAATGCTTCCAGAGCATTCTCCATAACAAACGCCTACTCTCTAGGATAAAACTCTTTTCCAGGGCCCTGTCTCACCTGAGGGAAGGGCATTTCTCCCACTTGTCCCTACAGCCTTCCAGACTCAACAAAGCGGGTGGGGGTTGGGAGGTGGCAGACAGCTGAGGGAAGCAACAGCCCGGGAGAAACACTGTGAAGGTCATAGCCCAGGGGTAGGCCCACTAAAACACTTAGATTTAATCAAAATTACAGGTTTTCTAAGAACTGTTAGGTTACATCATCCAGGGATTATCCTATTAACCTTCTAACCAACCCCTCCACTGCCCTGTTTTTTTTTTCTTCCAAAATGCCCAGAGCACCAGGGACCTTGGATCAAACCAGTTAAACCCACTGCTACAAGTCCGTTCCAAGAAGTAGCCCCCAGACCAAGGTTACACCTGTGCAGAAACCAGGAGTGCCTGAGAATTCCCTCTGATTCATTTTACTAGTAAATTCTACCCACTAGGAAAGGTGTTTTTCACTATTTT